GTGAGGTAAGCCAAAAGTGGTGCATGCCAGCAGGCTTTGGCATTATCATGGTACAGGACATTTCAGTTGGGACGAAGTGGACAACAGAACAAATGACGCTGCCGAAGACGTGCAACCTGAAGAAGCCACAATCAAAGAAGAAACTGTACTCATTTTTGAGAAGGGAAACGGTGAAGCTCTTGGTGAAGTTACTACCACTGATGTGACTGTTACCGATGATGGGACATTTACTGATGAAGCGGATGAACCCCACATGAAGCAGAAGCCAATGAGACGGAGACCAGTACGGAAGAAGATACGTCCCGTAAAATTAAGAGACTTTGTTGAATTGTAATTTTGTCTTTGTAATTCTGTACAGTTAATTAAGTTATTGTTAATTGTTATTGGTTTATTGTATGTGGTTATTGTTCGGGACGAACAATATTAAGGAGGGGGCAGTGTTGCGTCATCGAGATCAACATGACTACAGTGACGCCACGTTTCTAGAACTATCCCGTATCTTGGCCGAATGCTCTAGTATTTGCTAGATATAGGGTAGTTTGGTATATATAAGAGGGGACAACGTGACGGGAGATGAAGGTAATGTGTGTATAGACAGTGAGTAATTGATCTGCAGTCAGAAGTATTATTGAGCACGTTCGTTGTTATAGCGTTTGTTTAGCGCAAGTATTGAGATTAAGTGTATCGCAGAGTTATGTTCGGAAAGAATAAACCAGTTTTATTAAGTAAAGACTTGTGTCGCTTAAGGTTCGTCAGAACGAAGTTACGGAAAATTAATTAACATACGGAGGCGTAACAATATCATTACTACCAGTAACATGTAATTCTTTGTTCTATCTGACTAATTTTTTTTCTTGCCATTGTTAAATATGTGCCTTATAATCCTAATTATCATCAGTGCTGTCCTTACTTATGTGTCCTTTGTCGTCTAACTTAATTTAGATGAATTGTAAGTATATATTGATTATTACTTTGTTTTATCTGTAATTTTCATCAGTTTGTATGTTCGTTATTATCAAGTACTTTGTACTAGGTAAGTTTAGATGGTTTTCAGTTCAATATTTGTAAGTACTTTGTTAACTAGGTATGTTTAGATAGTTTGTACGTTACATATCATTACTATTAGTAACATCTAATTCATTGTTCTACCTGGATACATTTTTTTTTCATCATTCTTAACTATGTACGTTATAATCCTACTTTTCTTCAGCGTAGGACTTTGCTTTGCTACATTGCTAATGTGTTAGTTTCTTTCCCATTTGTAGGGCTGAGCTTTGCTTTGGCTTCTTTTTCTACATTCTTGATACTAGAAACCAAATTTTCTCCTTGTAATCTACAATTTGAGGATTGTCCCCACAACACTCACATCATGTATAGTTTTTTATTGCTCAAAGTTGAGTATTCTAGTTCAGGGCCCTACCGTTTGGACTAACCTTGGCTCTTTAAGTGATACTAGCTCTTGCCCTATATCTTCACTTGATAGGTCTTCACACACATCTTTACATGAATGACTGGCTACTGCTCGCATCTTTCCATTCACAGTGCAGAGACCATACTCTTCTGTTCATACAAGAAGCAGCACTAATGAGATTCCTAATGAAAAGGGGGAAGTCCATTCTTACCCCCACTCAATTCCCACTTCATTTTGGGGTTTTCTTCATTCCTACTTTATTTGGGCCCAGCCTTCTCTTTGTCATTGGGATATGGAGCAAGCAGTTCACAAAGCCCTCACCTCACATTCTCTCACAGCTTGAGAAGTCTCTGTTGGGGATGTGGGCTTCCTTGGAAGCCCTCATTGCCATGGGTCAGGCTCTCATGCATTCCCTTCAGTGGACACTCCTAGATCAGTGGACCACCCTTTTACCCTTCATTCCTGTATCAGAGCAGACCTGTCTTGGTGTTTAAATAGAGACCAGACCATGGCGGGGGTGACCCTTGCTTGGTGACATAAGTGACCACTGTGGAGTTGTCTGAGTGTACCATAACCATACTCCCCTGCAGGAGAGGAAGGAAATGGGATAGAGTTCAATGAACCACCATAAGCTCAAGAAGGGTAATATGAAGAGAAGACTTCTTGATCAATCAGACTGGAACCCAGGAGTTGAGGTAAACACCCCAACTCTCTAAAGATGAGTCCGTGATCAGATTTAAATTTGGATGAGACAGAGGAAGAAGGTACCAATTCTCTGTCTCTCTGCTTTCAGATCCTGGATCTCCTTTTCTGGGCTATAGTCATCACAGTATTGTCTTAGCTTGTTAAGTTCCTGCCACCCTGAATCTGGTTGTGGATCAGTTATCTCTTCCTAACAAAATTCTCCCATGGATTGGTCTCTCAATCCACAGGTCTTTCAGTGGGTGTGTTCCCAGCTGGAGATACCTCTTGTATGCC